AGGTGCATACCACCTCCCAAAATTTTTCAAAACTGTTTCTAATCACAAAAATGTAAATTAAAAATTCTCTCTATGTGACAGTAGTTTGAAAGGTAAATATTGGAAGCAGAGAAGAGATACACATTTGCTGAAACCTATTGTGTGCCAGGCACTTTACATAATTTATTTTTATTTGATCCTCAAAACAATTGGCAAGGTATGTGTTATAGGGACACTAAGAGGTCATAGATTTCAGGAGGCTAAGAAATGACCTAAAACTTCACATCTAATAGTTGTAATAGCAGAGATTTGAACTCAAGAATATCTGCCTCTAAAAATTAGCCATATACTGTGACAACACATCCCAAATAAGGATGTATAAAAAATACTTGGCTCTTCATAGATATTATATGAAATATGTAGCAATATTAGTGACATACCTAAACTTAGGCATTAGAAAGAAGTCTTTCTTAATTTACTCTGTAATTATAACTCAACTTTTCCTCTTACAGGTTCCTACAGTAATAATTAAACATTCCTTTCTTTGTATCATATGTGTTTTCAAACTGCTATTAAAGATCCTTGGTCAGCAGCCTGTGTATCTTTTGGCATTTTACTGCTAATGCTCTGTAAACATGGGCAGCCAAGGAAAATGCAGACGGTGCTATGGAACACAAACCATAGCAACATATGGTATACATTTAGTCCCAGCAAAGTGTGCTTCTTAACCTCTGGGTGTCGCTTCACCATTCCTTTATAAGACTAGTCATTTCCAAAAAAGGTTTAGTTTCCAAAACCAGGGCAACAGGCCCACATGTGTTGTATGGCCATTCAGATGCACAGACTGTGTGTCCTAATGCCTTTAAGCAAGTGCATTTAGCACGTGCTTCATAGCACTATCATGTGTATTTATGAATTGTTCCACTTAGATGGTAAGCTCCTTAAGGGCAAGTACCATGCCTGGTATCTCACTTTATTAACTGTGCATGGCAGAGTAACAATATCATCTGTCTTGTCTGTAGAGACCTACAATCTACAAATTGCTCTTCTAGGTAAACCTCTTAACTACATTGCTACATTGTGACAATTGCCACATCATCTAGTTGAAGCTCACAGAGGCTAAGCAATTAGCCAGAATCAAAAACGAATAGGCAATGTTTTCCTCTTGCCCACAAGAGAAAGTTATTCTTGTCTTGTACCACTTTGTCGCTTTCTTCTTTTAAGGTTTTTATTACAAAGGTCAATGTCTATTGGCCTCTTAATAAAAGTAATTATTATTTAGTGCTTAGTATACATTGCAAGACATTGTTATAAGGGTTTTACAAATATTAATTCATTTAATCCTCCTAACAATCCCATGAGACAGATTCTTATTATCCACATTTTACAGATAAGGAAACTGGGGGGCAGAGAGATTAACTTGTCCAAAATCACAGGACTGGTAAACAGTAGCCATGAAATTTGAATCCAGCAGTAAAGCATAGTTCCAGAATGTGTGCTCTTAAACATACACTATTCTGCTTGAACAAGAGTCTACAAAGATCCTTACTCAGGACATATGAGGAGTAGTTTGGCAAGAAAAATATCACGTTTATCCTTTCTATGTGATTTATTTGATTATATTCTAAAACCTTTCCTCATGCCAATAGAACTCCATGTAAGTATTATATTAAACCTCCCTGTACTAAAGGCATATGCAGTGGTTACCCTGACTAACACATAAAATACCCAAAACAAAATACTCCAAGACTTGAGGATTTTTTTTGTTTTGTGAATTAGAGACAAAATAAAAATTGCCTAGGCATTACAAGTGTTATGCATTCACATCTGTAAGTCTTTCTTGGGATTTTCAGATTACTTATACAAGATTTTTTTTTTTCTCTAAGATATTTCAGTGTTCACTCAATGCCTGAGCTTGAAAATTATCTAATCCTTTTTAATTTTTTCATTTGCAGCTACTTTGCCTTCAGGCACAGGGTAAGGCAAGCACTTGCTTTCAATATGATGTTTAACACTTTTTATGTTTTTATTTCAGTTGTCTTGAAAACGTGATAGTAAACATCCAAACATATTGTAAAGATTTAAAATTCGGGGTGTGTAGACATATATCAACAGGAGTTATGAATTATGTATATTGCAGACCTATATAAATTAGATTTTGAAGAACAAGCATCACAGTAGTCAAGCAGGTCATAACAAGACATTCTATGTGAAATGTAAAAACTACATTGAATAAATTATCCATAAGTTAACATTCTCATTAGAATGACATATTTATTATTTCTGGGTTTGTGATGTTGCTTTAATGCATTTTGGCTAACTGTTGTAATAGCATATTAAGAAACCATTTCAGGGCTTTTTTCCCCATCGGAATTTGCAGACTTTCATTACCATTTGAACTAAAATAATATAATGTTAAAAATAATCACCCACTTCCCAATGTAGAATACTATTTTCTTCTGCCTAGACATATTTAATTAAAGCAGGATATAACCTTAGTAATTAATTTTACACAGAATGACTGAAATTAATAGTCAATTGTAAGACTAAAAATTGGGAGACTGACAATCAAAACAATCGTAAATGCTTTGTTTATGTGATGAAAATGAGTGATCCTTTAATTCCCTCACACACATTTAACTGATTTCACAGACTTTCTGTACTGCTGTTTAACGTAGTCAAGTGCTTGAGGTTATGTAAAATAAACAATCTTGAGGTCTTATTGCAAATGTTTGCAATTTATGATGTAAACTGAATTGTGAAGAAAAAACAGGATTCTATGTCACTGAAGCCAAAAAGGCATTTTTCAGAAATCGAAATAGTTCCAAAATTTGAGCATTGCATTATACTAAAGTATTACCATCCGAGGATCCAAAAAAGTTATAAATCTGGGGGAAAACTCAAAATAAATGTATATCAGTTCAGCTCCAAGCAAAGGCACCGATCTTACTGTGTCTCTTATATCATAGGGTCCTTAATAATAATAATTCTTAAATAATCTCTTTTAACTCATTTTTCTCCAGTCATGAATTTTGCAACTCGGGAAGGTTTTCCATGCCCAAAAGATTTGGGGAGCAGGGAGTGGGGGTGTCCTTTATTAATTATATTAGGATTATTGAGTTTCCACCAAAACCACAGGTATTTGGGGCCTTATTTAAATTTAAAATGAAGACGTCCTCAGACCTCTTCTTGGGATAGTTTGAGGAACTTGGGGTTTGGACCTTTGTTCACACACCGAGGCGCCTGCCTGCGCGTTTGGGTACTGGCGTTCCGGGAGAGCGGGCCCTGCGTGACCCTGTGTAAGGAGCCTGGACCCGAAGGACGAGGCCCTACAAGGCCATGGAAAGCGGCTTCTCTTCGGTTAGTCTTGGGGGAGAAGAAGCGGGAGGAGGCAAGGGCGCCCCGGGGGGCTGGTCCCACAGGTCTCGCCCGACTCGAGCGCTGCCGATGGCGCCAAGAAACTTTGGCCTTTCTTGCTGGACCTGGCTGCCTCTCCGCCTACTGCGCTCCCGCCGCGGCCTGACTCCCGCAGGGCTCCGGGCCCAACCCAACGGGCTCTTGTAGCCCGGGACAGTCCAGACCGACCTTCGCTGTTTCGCCGCACCCCTGTCCCGATACGCCGCGCTTCCGCCAGCAGGGCCTGGACGCACCGCCTCCTTTGACCTTGGGCTTCCCCCGCGCTCCACCGCATGGTACAGGCTGGCCCCGGGACCGAGCCACCATCTCCCCTGCCCCAGGTTCTCCAGTATCCGAACCTGCCTTGGGATCTGGGTTAGGATAGGCTTTGGAGCTTGGAGCTCCAAAAGCCGGTTTGGACCCCCGGCCCCGGCGCCGACTGGAGCTCGCTGAAGGCCACAGGACCGTGGCGGATGGCCCGGCTACTTCAAGGCGCACCATGCCCTCAGGCAGACGTTTATTATAAAAACTACCGACGTTCATCATCCGGGAGAGCCGCAAGGCCTGCGCACTGAATACGGCCCAAATCCTGTTCAGTGGTCTTTTAAAGTTAAAGAAACCTATCGCTCACGGCTAGGGTGAGGAACAGGTTTGAACACGAACTCAGACCTGGTAGAGGGCCAGGTGGGGGTGACGGGGAACACTGCTGGAAGATTCGGGGCTTTGTAGGGGGTTTTACGCACCCTCCAGCACGACGGTGCGGGGTCCCAAGGGACGCTTAGGAGGACCCCCTCAGTCTTCGCGGAAGGTCCCGTCGTCCCAAGAGCCCGCGCAGGAAGGGCAAGTCCTGTTCCGGACCTGGTGTCCCGGGCTGAGTCTTCAAGGTTTCCATCTACCCCCACACAGACAGCACCTTTGGGCTTTACTAGTGGGATTTCTTTCAGAAGAAGGGGGCCACGAGATGGGGCGAGAGAGAGAGCGCCTCAGTATTTGCAAGGCAAGGCTTTTTCTAAACCCGATTTTGGCTTCCACCTTCTAAATTTAACAATGAAGAAGCTGCTTCAGCCAAAGCCCTAAACAGGAGTGTGAAGCGGGGGATCCGCCCTGCACAGTGCCCCCGCCTGCCCCACTTAGCGGCTCTTTTCCTGCTCAGAAGTCAGCACCTGCCCCCCCCAGAGAGGGTCAACGACCTGGGACTGATGGTCGATTATGCCATACCAAACCCAGGTAGATTTCGCACCGCTTGATCCCTCTTTTCTTCCTCCCAAAAGTGTCCCCAAATAAACTTAAAGGTTGAAATTACAGCAAAATGAAGAACAAGAGTCCTTCATGGGGACGGGAGTTACTCTATCCTATGTTATTTTACTTATTATTTGTTCTTTCATTAGTTTAGCATAATCCGGTGGATAAACTGGAGGGGGTGGGCGGCTGGAAATGCGCTCGGCGATAGCGACAGCCACAGAGACACCCTTCTTACTGCCCCTTGACTGCGTCAAGTAAGAGCAGAGGCAAGCGCTTTTCCAAGTTGGTATATTCGAGAGAGATACGCATTAATCAAAAGGAAAAAGGGAAAGACTATCCTGGATATTTTAATAGTAACAGGAACAAAGATGACGAGAACCCCATCAAATGAAACAATATTTTCATTCAATTGATCGCAAAGTGTCTTCAATTAATAACTTGGCACTTATTTAAAAGGTTTAACAGAAGCTGAGCCAAAACATTTTGTACTGACAACACATCATGAGATAACAACATCTTTTGTTTAAAATAACTTAATACACTAGAAAAAAATATGTCAAATATAAATAATTTTGTTTTCATGGAGAACAAATAGTTACAAAGCTCAACCGCATACCAAAGTTCAGTTAGAAGAGCTTTTCCTCTTGTAAATTAGAAGGTAAAAAACCCACAAACTTAGGCTTGTTAGAGAAGTGGGATACAGATTGGATTAGTCCAAGGTATCCCAGTTTAAATAGCGATATGAAGTGAAACAACCAAAAAAAAAAAAAAAAAAGTTACTTGAATAGATACACCTTTGTGAGATAAAATGCAAATGTTGAAAGTCAGTCCACACATTATAGCCAAAATAAACTTTGTTCGTGTGTATCAACATATTTTACACAAACCTAGTGCCTGTATCTAGCTGGGTGTTATTTAAGGTTAATTTGACGGGATAGAGAGGGGGAAATAAAGCACTGTCTTCAAATAGGACTTCAGGAAACCAACAAGAAGGAATAGGAGAAAAGGGGAATGGTGGGAACTAACACTGATTGAGCTCCTACTGTGTCTGGCACAGCGAGGCGCTGTACCTTCATTATTTCATTTCGTGGTCTTGTTTTCTTTTTCCTTTCCCCACATATTCTGCCCACCTCTGTCTGTCTTCTTAGGACAAGGAGTATAATTTTTTCCCTTTCTGACTTTTTTGTTTTCTTCCCCAGGATGAAAGACAGGGCAAATATGTATATATATGGATATATATATATATATATATATATATATCCATATATATATATCCCAATTCCCAGATGCTTTTGGTATTGTTTTTCGTAGTGAAGATGAAAATGGAGCAAGTGCATGGGAGTTAAGGGGGTGGGAGGAGGACACACCATCAATGGAATACAAGTAACATGCAAACCGGAATTTACTGTCAGTAGTCCGGACAGTTTTGCCATAATAATTTCTCAGAGAAATCATTGTCTGTGGCATATTTTTGTGTTAATATTATTTTTTTCTCTCCTCGTTTTAATATTTTCTCTTTTCTTGCTCTTCCATACATGGTGGGTTTAAACTCAAAGCATCTGATTCAACGTAAAAGGAGGCCCGCCTCTCTTATCAAATTTCTCGTATTAACGTGAACTTCGCAGAAAAAGGTCAGTTTCAAAACCTGTGAACTTCCCAGCTGCGCACTTTTTTCATCTTGGCTTTTTAAATAAGTATACCTCTTCTTTCTGCTTTGCCTTCATAGCGCACTTTTAAAAACACACATATTTAAGTTGGTAACTCCCCCACATTTTCTCTAGATTCGTCTGGATTGTTTTTCCATATTTTTAAATGTATAAAATACTTTAAATTTAAAATTTGTTTTTGCTTCTTGGTTCTACAATTTCAGCTTCTGCCAAATAGCAATAAATTCCCTTTCTCCTTTTCTCTCCGGTTTGTCTTTCAATTTTTTTTGTTCGCTCATTTTTTCATTGTTAACAAGATTTTGTTTCTATGCAAGAGTCCATCGTTGCAGCTTTGTGGTGAGCCACACTTCGCAGTTCCACCACTTCCTTGTGCAGTCTCTCCAGACTCCCCCAAACCCGCTCCTACAAAACCGAATTCTAGGCCCTCAGGTAGGAAAATGGGCAGGAGCCACAGAGCCTGCGCGCCTCGTGGGATCCCTGGTCCTGCGTGAAGTCTGGCTTTCCAAGTCCAGGATGCGAAAGGGGACAAGGGATGGTCAGTGAGACGGCAAGAGGGCCGGCTCCCGAGGTCTGAAAGGGGTAACCGAGAAGCAGCAGGGCGCGGAGGGCGTGCAGGCTGAATGCCGCGGGGGAGGCGCGACGCTGGTGCTGGCGTTGGCGTCACAGACCCAGGGCTGCCGCGTGCTTTTTGGCTTTCAGTCTGAGATCGGCGATGCTGGAGTTCTTGCTTGTGGTCTTGGCGGCTGCGGCGGCCGCCACTACCGAGGCGGCGGAAGCTGAATCCGCGGCCAGCGTGGCGAGCGGCAGTCCGAAGGGCGGTGCTGGGAACATCATGTAGGGCGCGTGCGCGGCCAGGTGCGGATGCAGGTGGTGGTGCGCGTGCGCCACAGCGCTGTCCAGCTGCAGCTGCGCCTGAACCTGAAAGGACAAGGGCGTCACGTTGCAATGACTATCCTAGGGTGACAACAGAATAGAAACAGAGCATTAACGGAGTCCAGCTTGGCTAGAGAGATAGTTGGGTTGGGTTTGGGCACGGGGAGAGGGCGTTTGGCTGTGCATTTTGTTCCGACAGTGACCTTCTCAGCCTGTTGCTGAATCTGGGCTTCCATATGGATACTCCAGTGCCCCCTGAGTCTCCGAAACTCGCTTAGTGTAGGCTTGTTTCCCTGCATCCCGGGAACCCCCATCTGCAGGAATATGGCAGCCTCCCTTGAGAACTGGGCTGAAATGGTATATTGGAAAGACTGAGGGTGAGGATCCCTACCGTCTTCTCCTGATGCTGCCCTGCACCTCTTACCCCACTATCAAAACAACGGAGTACCACCAAGCAAACTACCCAACTTTTTCATGTCATTCAGGGAAGTTACTCCTTCTTTACCACAACAGGCACAATTGTGAGTCGGTACTTATAACCTTTACTGCCATAAGAATTACCCAGCGATCTCGTTAAAATTCGGATTCTGATTCAAAATGTCTAGTTTGGGGCCTCAGATTCTGAATTTCTACAGTCTCCCAGATGGTGTTGCTGCTGCTGGCCCAAAGATCACCTTTTGGTGATCTTTGGGTGAGTAGTAAAGGCCTCCTTTTAAAAGTCAACTCTCTTTCTTTCTTCAGTCATTCTCTCGTTTCCAAAGCCCAGCATCAGAATGCCAGGGTCCTGTGGCACCAAAAGAGCTAAGTGCTCAATAATACATGGGCACACCTAGGAGTCTCCCCAGTCCAAGTCGCTGGAGACTGAGAGCTAATTCCTGACATCACAGCCTTGTCAAGCAGGGGTCCTGGCTGAGGATGGGGAAGGTCAGATACTGGTTGGGAAAGGATTTTGCCCTCAGGCTTGGAGAGTGGGGAGTTCAGAACACTAGGATTTCCCAGGATTAAATCATTGCTGCAGGCCGTACTTTTAAAATATACTCTTAAAGGTTTCTTTATGGCTAAGAAAGGGATTGCAAAGGCAGGGCAGTCCTGGGAAGACCAAGACTTTTCTCTTTACCAGAGATGAAGCTTTGTTTCCAGAAACAGATTTAAAAACAAAGAAAAAAACAAAACTATGAGCTGGGAGTACTTGTGTGTATTTATTTTTCTTCCGTTAGAGTTATTTAATGTGACTAAGAGATAGAAAATACTTAGAAAAATATCTAGAAGATTGCCTTAGAAATAATTTAGGACTAATCTTTGTATTGGATTTGACAAAATCTTAATCAAAAAGCTTTTCTTTCCTCTCTCTCGAAGTGCAATCTTTAGGTGCATTTTTAAAGGACCGGTTACTGTCCCCAGGCCTCTTCAGGGGTTCCCATGAGGACAGAAGGGACTAGGCATATGGATCCTTAATGCTGCATAGGTTTTTAAAGGGTAGTGGGTCCATTATGTCATCTCAAAATAGATTCTCCAACTGCGCAGACGCTGACATCTGGGCTCAGAGACAGGTGATGTTCAACAGTTCAAGCAAACATGCAGGTATTTTTGTATTTAAAAACAGCTTGAAACTAGGCTATACTTGCCTGCTGAAATGGCATTCTTAAAGCACCTACGTTGACATAGGGTGCGACTCTACAAGCTTCAAACTGGCTGGCGGCCCCTATGAGAACACCTGTAAAAAACACAAAACGAAAAAAAAAATAATGTGAGGTTAACATTTCTAGCATTTTTCAGGGTTCCGAATGGTACAAGATAGAACGAATTCCTTTGAAACTGGACTATTAGCTTTCTAAACTGCTTCCATAATTTAAATAAATATAATTTACTACCAATCTTTAGAATTCTTATTAACAGCCCTTGGAGATTATGAAGTCAAGCAAAAATCTCATTGCTATTTTTGAGATTTCTTTTTTTTTCTGTCTTTATAATAGTAATATTCACTACTTCTCTCTTTGCTTAGACTATCAAATGTTCCTTGTATAAGAAGCATACCTTTATGGAGTTGATTTTCTTGTTTTCTACATTTAGCTCTTCGATTTTGAAACCAAACCTACAGGATGGAGAAGGAAAGAAAATGAAACCTAGATGTTATGACTAAAAATTTTTTTAAATTACAATATTACAAGGAGAAAAGAGTCGTGGTATAGACAAGAATTGGGAGATATAGCAAGCAATCTTTGAATTATATAAAACAGCCTCAATTTCCAAATTAAACATGTAAATTAACTACAGAAATAGAAAGATAGATTTTATAGACTTTCACAAGATAGATTACTATTAGTCCTGGTTTAATCTTTTCACATAACAGAGTCCCCACGGCCTAAAACTCTGCTTGGTACCTGATACCAATATGATAATGTGTTTAGATATTTTCCCAGTTAAGACCCGAGAAGAATGTGCTCATTAATAGCTCATAATGTTAATTAGCTTCATCTTAAAGAAAAACCAAACACCAGAGCAAATAATAACTCTTTTGGGGAGAAGGAGTTGTAAGGGTTGGGGAGAGGTAATTAGTGTCATAAAAGCCTCACTACAAAGAAGTTTAGAATTTCTCTGTTCCTCTGTGCAGCAGAGTGAAACACAGTGGTAGAATAATTGTGCACCATTATCATGATAATCGAATTCGCTTCTTTAGAAAAAGCCACTGCTTGCAGTTAGGAGAGTAAGAAAACATCTAGAAAATAACTAAAATGTAAATAAAAGTATGAAACAATGATATAAAGTTCACTTCTTAAGAGAAAAAAGAACACTCAGTGAAAGGAGAGTGCGGTCTGTATGAATTAAGTAACTCCAAGGTACTTTGTTCTCCTGGATGTTACCTTCTTAAACTTGACAACTTTTACAGGCACTATGACAGATTTTTTAAAAAAAAATGCATATAAAGCTTGCTTTTGTACTCCATTTTCAATAATAAAGTGTATTGACTGACTCACAAATTAAAGTTTAAAAAACCCCATTAAAGTAAAAATACTGTGTCAGAGCTTTTATTGGTATTGAATATTATTGAAAGTAAGTGTCATAGTCAATGTAAATCTTCAAAAATTTCTCTGCTATTTAGTGTAAGAGAAGGGTGGATTTTTGCCAGGGTGGCATCCTTTGTGTAATTCACATGGCCTGAGGCTTCTTGCCTTTTTTTCCCCTAGAAGAGTTGGAATTAAGATACTAATAATCGTAACTGTAATAATTATCACCATATTTTTAAGGGGTTGCTGAGCCTCTGGAGATCTCAGTGCATACAGAAAAGCAGGAGAGGCTTAAAAAGGAAGGCTCTGCTGCGGATGCTGTGATGAGCAAGGCAGCCTATTATTACTTTTCCTCTTCAACGTGACTGCTCTGGTTTTTTTTTTTTTTTTTTTTTTTTTTTTCCTGATCCTATTACAAGATGCGGGGAAGCCCCTTAAGAATTGCGCATAGTTCGCTACAGATGGTGGTCTCTGTGTCCAGAGACCGAGGGAGTATCTGTTACAGCGATACTTTGTAACAGCTGCAGATGTGCGGGCCTAAAACTACTCCATGTGTTCAAACAAATAATGACCATCATTTTCTCCTATTTTATTATTTGAGTGGAAATACAATCTGAAACATTTAAATTTGTTCCCCCTAAAGCTAGAAGGATATGTGTATGTGAATGTACACAATTTGCCCCTTTAAATGCCCCCAAAGCCTATTTTTGCTATTACATTTGCCTCCACAACCAATAAAGAAAATCTGTTTCAATCTTAACTTTATTGGGTATGGCACGTGCTGGGGGCAGGCTTTGGAAATATAAATACCAAGATATGTGGTTTGTTTTAAAATCGAGTTTCTTTAGGGTCAGGTTCGTTGCCTTGGTTAAAATAACGAACAAAGAGTGACCAAAATGCGTTTATTTCTCTGCTATTTCGCACACAGTTTGAGATCAACCGCTAACAGCAGACTGTAAATTTCTACACTTACACTTAACAGTTACTAATTTTCTTTATAGTCTGCACATCTATAAACCTAATTGGCATATCCGCTTGACAAACCTAGACCCCGCAGAGCAGACCTTCAACGAAATCCAACTCCGGAGAGCAAAATACTCCTTGGAACTTTTAAGGCATCCAGAGATAAAACGTTTTCTGTGGGATTTTTTTTAGCCTTATAAAAGTAGGCCCATTAGGATTAAACCACATTAAAGCCAGTGTGAGGCGAGGGGGGTGTGGTTTATAGAAACTCTGGGAGAAAGCCCAGCACAGCTTTCTTCTGCTGGGAACATATGTTAGGATGGAAAAAAAAGGAAGGGGAGTGCTATAGGACTAAGATCTACTTTGGAAAATAAGACCTCTAGTAAAAATATCTCTTTCCTTCTCATCTTACACCAGACACTAGAACCACCACCTCCGGAGTGCATCCTCCAAGCCTCTTTCCAACCCCAGGCCCTCTCTGCTCCCTGGGCCCTCGACCTCCTGGCAGCTGGGTACCTGCACTCGGGCCTCTGACAGGCCCAGTCGCTGGCTCAGTTCCTCTCGCATGAAGGCGTCAGGATAGTGGGTCTCGTCAAAAAGCCGCTCCAGCTCATTGAGTTGTTCCAGGGTGAAATTGGTCCGACTTCGCCTTTGCTTGATTTTGGTCTGGCCTTCGTCCTCCATCCCTTTCGCATCCTCTTTGCGATCTTTCAGCTCCGGGGACACTGGAGGGGGCACCCCAGCGGGGCCAAATGTGCATCCATGCGCGCGCGCGCGCACACACACACACACACACACACACGCGCACGCGGACAAAAACAGCACAGCAAATCCCGTTACCAGATTTGTCGCAAAAAAGGATAGAGATTCCTTCCCCCTTGTGGAATCCTAGTCCAGCTCGTCACCCCACCCAGAGGAAGAATATCCCGGAGAAGCGCAAAGGTCAAGTCTGAGCGGCTGCCTGGGTGGGGTAAGGTGGACAGTCATCCACCCACCTCCTCTGCAAACGTGCCTCGACTCACCGCCTCACTATTCACCCCATAGTCCCTTGCCTTCCCCTGCAAACACCAAATGCTCTTCACTCACTTTCGCACTCACTTTCTCCCAAGCACTCAGAGAAATCAAAAGCGCGGCGCCAGGCCTCTCACAGAGCAAGGTCTGGGCATAAGGGCGCAGCAAAGCCATCCACTGGCCTCTCACACCGGCCATTCCCAGAGGGCTGGCTCGTTCTCAGGCTAGCTCTCACCGCCGCTGGCTCTCTGCCTACCGCAAACTTGCTGGTCTAATTTGGGAACAATTGGGCCGAAGGGTAGCAGCAGGAGAAACAGACCCAGCTGTTGGGCCGCACAGGGAGCCGCATCTGCAGGCGCCCCTCATTGCCCCAGGGCTCCGACCAAACCCTGCGTAAGGTCCCCTGCGCAGCCAGGTAATCTCTGTTACCACTGCCCGAGCTGGGCCGCACTAGCACTGGCGCCCACGCCATGTTGGCGGCCCGAAGGGCTCGCCGCCCACGCCGGGCCAGAAGGCAAGAGGCGGAAAACCAGCCTCCGCTGGCCGGCGAAAGCAATCACTCTCTCTGTTCTCTCTTCTCCCTCTCTCGTGGAAACGCAGACTCGACCCTAAACGCTTAACCCACAGAGATCAACAGGTTCAAGCGGAATATTCGCGATCCTCGGTTTCTATTGGTTGCTCAAAGCCTTTTCATGCATCCAGCAGCTCGGATGTTTAATAAAATATGCATTTTTTTTTTCTGCTCTGGTTTTGCACACATCCGCTGCCACTTTCCTGTCCTTCTCCCTTTAAAAACAGGAGCTCTTCTAGTGTGAGCATACAGAGCCACCCTATATATATCCCCCTGGAACCTTTATCCTCCGCGCCCGAATCGGAGACTCGGGTTTTTAAGGAGTCAAAGCTGAATTTAGATAGTCAAGACTGTTTGCCGTTCTTCGCAGCGCAGGATCCAGGCTAGCATAGGTGTTAAAAATCATTTCCGGAAGAGCCGGTCTGCAGAGAAATTAATACTTGCCCTGGCTTGGAAATCGACAACCCCGGGAACTGCGCCCGCCTGGGATTCAGACAAGAACCTAGCGGTCAGGCGCGCTGGTGAACCCAGGCCCGGTAGTTGTGGACTCACGGCCAGGAGGCTGCGCTGGGCACCTTGACAGTAATTCCACCACTTCACAAATTTAGGAAGATCTGGTGCTGGCTTGGAGGAAGAAGAGTCGCTAGATCTTGGCCTTGACGGGCATTCTAACTACGGTGATCTAAAGTATTGCCGTATTTTCTAGTTCTCAGAGTTCGTTTTGTGGACATTTGTCCTTTCTTTAGGAAGTAAGTGGATAATATTATAGTAAGTATTATGGACCAATTTAATAGTAAAGTATTTTTACTGATACTGTACTGAAATTTAAATATGAAAACACACCCTTCATATTTTGCCAAGAAGGTGGGAAGGCTTTGTCTATTACATGTCATCTACACAGTGGATGCCACTCAAAGTTTTGGGGCTTCGAGAAGATGTCCAAATTTCAAGTTGATTAATAGACTTCATAAAATCTCTATTTTGTCCCCAAATTTCCACTTAATGATCTAAACAGGAACAGACCCTGTTATAAACAACTTAATTGATTGCTTAAATATGTGATTCCACGCATGCCACATATTTTCTTAATTGGAAAAATATGGCAGTACACCAGTTACTGCAGGCACCAAGTGCCACATTAATTTTATTGTTGAACTCCTTTGAATTGGTACAGGACACTCTGCCATTTAGATAAAGATGTTTCCCAACACTGCGCTAGCACCCAAGGATTTCTGCTTTAAGAGAACCGAGTACCGGATGAATGCAAACACTAAAGGAATCGTGTAAACGTAGATTCCCCACCTCCCCCACCCCCACACACACCCTAAGAAACCGAAACGCCTGGCCCGGGAAAAGCAGCGAAGCCTGGACCTCAGCTTTCGTTGGCTTCCTTCTACCTTCATGGCTCAAAGAGAATGGGAAGTTTTGGCCCCTAAGATCCAAAGATGCGAGATCTCTGTGGAGTTCGAGGGGTCTTGGTGGCCCCAAACCCGGAGGCCACCGGAGGGTTAAGCTTTCCACCTCTGCTCCTTCTCGCTCACGGCAAACTCCGCGCCAGAGGCTAGCTTTAGTCCAGCCGTCTGGTCCAGCACCCCCTCCTGCAGCCCGGTCCCGCGAACTTCCACGTCCGCCTGCGGGCCATCCGGGCTGCGGGCCCATCTTCCGACTGGTGAGAAATGCATTTTGGTGGAATGGGAACATCTGGGAAGGGCGCGCGGAAACCTTACACGCTTCCCCCACCACACACTAGGACCCCACCCACGACCGAGCGCACCACCGGACCCCCACCCTTCCACTATCACTCTAGCTTACAAAGCTGGGGTCTAGGGCCCTCTCCGCGTCCCTCCTACTCCCCGCTGGGCCTCTCAGTCCTTTCCCACCCGAAAAGAGTTGGGAAGGCGGAAAGGGGAACCGCTGCCAGGGGTCAGTCAGGTCGTTACCCTCCGTCAGTCGTGGACTGCCCGGCTCCCTGCTTCTCTCCGCGGCGCCCATGTCCAGCTCCCGGACGGGAGAGCGCCCTCCTCCAGCTCCTCCGCCTGCTCCTCCTCCTCCTACACCTCCTCCGCCTCCTCCGCCTCCGCCTCCGCCTCCTCCGCCGCCGCCTCCGCCGGCCGCCCGGACTGCCGGGCTGCTGCGGTCGTCGCGACCCGCCTCGGCGCAGCCGGTCGGCTCCTTGGCCCCACGCAGCGGCCCGCTCTCCAGCACCTCCCGGTACGTGATCGCCTCCTTCTTCTCCTTCACTTTCTGGTCAAAAGACTTGGAGACGAACGCCGTAAGTTCTTCCATCGCCTCCGCACGTCAGCCCGGCGCTAAACCTCTGCCAGCCGAGCCCCGCTCTTTTTTTCCTTCTTCTTTTTTTACTGCTCCAGCCCCCCCAATAATAACACATCAATGGGACAGGAGGTGGGGGAGGAGAAGGAGGAGGAGGAGGAAGAAGAAAAAGAGGAGAAGAAAGAAGAAAGAGGAGAAGTAGAAGGAGAAAAGAAGTAAGAAGAGGAGGAGGAGGAAGAAGAGGAGGAGGGGGAAGAAGGGTGAGGAGAAGGAGAGGGAGGAGGAGGAGGAGAGAAGGGGCGGGGGCCGCCGGAGGGAAATGGGAACTGATGCTTCCCTGCCGGAGCGCGCTTGTTCAATGTTAAGATCTTTGACAATTCTTCCTGCGGAGAGTTCAGATCTGATAGAGACGCTGCGCTTGAAGTCTCACTATTTATACTTCCTAAAGGCGGCCCCTTGTTCTGAGTAAATTACCTCCCCTCACAACTCGGAGTGAGCCCCCTTTCCGGGTAGCAGTCGCCTCTACCAGGGGGTTGGGGAGGAGAAGAAGGGTGGGGAGAGGGAGAGGGAAAGGGAGAGGGAGAGAGAGAGAGAGAGAGAGAGAGAGAGAGAGAGATTGATTCGAGTTCGGCGGGCTGGTGCTGGAGTGGTAGGGCAGCACTGGGGGACTGGAGGGGGCGGGGAGAGGAGGTCAGTCCGCTCAGGTTTTCAGATAGCCCCTGCTGCCTGTGCTCTTGGCCATTAATCCAGGATTGACAAGAATCCCTAATTAATTTAATTAGGCGTGGATTTTGTGTTGATGTCACGACTTAGTTAAACACTGGGGAGCTGGATAGACCCCGCGGGGTGGGACCAAGAGGAAACTGACAAGTGAGCAGCTCTTGGAGTCAGTCGGGTATCCCGACTCTGCATCCCTTCCTACAGCCTTGCCTCGAGCCAGGGTGCCGCGCAACTGCTCAGCTTCGCAGTGCTTCTCCTTGTCCCTGCCCTGCATCAACCGCCCAGCAGTTTACAGGCCCCGCATCCCATTCCCGCGTCCTGACCTCGCATCCCAATCCTGCATCCCCGCTTCTCCTTCACATCCCCCACCCCTGCAGGCCTTAGCTTCGCCGCCCAGCACCATCCTGCCCAGAGTCAGGGTTCCCTGAAGCTTCTCCAACCCACGCAGTTTCTCTTAGGAGCTTCCCGGCTCGCAGGCCGGCGGAGTCCGTGTCTCCTCGGAGCTGCTCCCTTCGGTTCCTGTTATTCACTGTACTATTCGTGTCCTGAAGCCCAATCTGACTCCTCTATGGACAGACCCCGCTAAAAGGGACAGGTCGATTTAACAAGTTTCCCGAGCAGCTGTTCCCTGACAGGTCGCATTTTAAAGTGTTTCCTTAGCGCCCAGTCAACGACAGCTGGACTTCGTTCGTTCGTTTCCTCTTTGAGGTCTCAGAACGCCCACCCTTCTCCCTTACTCTCTGCACCGGATCCCTCTATGGTGAACTACAGGACTTCTTCTTCAGCATCTTGGGAAACAGCTGAGTTGATTTCCTAGTTTGAAAAACGAGATTATCCCTCTTCTAGTCTGAAAAAAAAATCGACCTTAAGTTTGTAGCCCGTCTAATTTCATTTATTGCGGAGTGCTAAAAAAAGAGACGCTCGCCAGGAGTAAAGGTCTCTCTCTCTCTCTCTCTCCCACTCACGATTTTAAATTCTATTTCTGGACTATTTTTATCGGAACGGGTTTTTATAAGAGAGGAACATCTATATTCCTGAGTCATTTGTCTATATTGTGCAGGACAGGGCGTGCTGTGAGAAATGTCGCTATGCAAATATATACTCACAAAAGAATATTTAAATATAAGTTATATTTAAGTGTGTAAACACATATGCCTCTTTAAGTGTAGCTTTGGAGATATATTTTTTAATTTTTTTTATTGCATTTTAGGTTTTGGGGTACATGTGCAGAACGTGCAAGACAGTTGCATAGGTACACACATGGCAGTGTGTTTTGTTTCCTTTCTACTTTGGAGATATTTTTAAGCAGTTTGAATATTAACGCAGACTTTCTGGAAGTTAAAGGTAACTTGATCATTATTTTGAATCTAATACTCTTAGTAAAAATAAGAGGAATTACAGAACATTAATATGTACCACCATTAATATGTCCATCCATTGGTTAAGGCATCAAAATAAGTAGGCAGATAATTTGAGAAGTTCTGTCAAAACAACCTGAAACACTTGTAAAAAGAGAACACAATTATAACTTGATAGTGTTTTTCAAATAGATGCAAATAGTACCTGGATGTAATCTTATGTAATACTGCAATACTCAGATTAAAATGTTCACATTTGATGAATTTAAGGATTATGTATATCATGCTTTTTAGAAATGTTGTTTTGCCTTTTATTGTTTTGAATTCTGAAGTTATCTTTCCTTCTGAAAACATTTCATATTTTGCTACTTTTCACAGAGCTAATGTCTGTGATTTTTCAGCAGCTATAGCTTTTAGCTATTAATACATTGTATTGGTGTTTTGTTACACCACAAAAGGGACTCAAATACTCAAAGTTTCCAAAGTTATATGAATTTAGAAACAATTTCACATTGAGTCTTGGGTTACTATCTGTTACTACTTTAATTCTGATATTAGAGGAAAATAATCATGAAACTTTAATCCTTTATGACAATCTGTTTTTAATCTGTTTTAGCAGAAGGGCCAGTAATGGGTGAGCTAAGTGGATATGGTGCTCAAAGTGCTCTCAAACTGAGGTGTTAAATGCGTATTCACAAATAACTAAAAAATAACCACTGTTAGAAGTTGGCTAAGGGATCAGGAGACCCACCAGCTACTTGTTTGCCTTTTTAAACACATGACTTCTGGTTTGAACTCATATTTCATCTACTGAGCTTGAGGGAAAGATGACCAATTTTTAAGATAATCGTCGAAGTCACAGACACAACTGTTGTGTAATTCAAACCAATAGATTTTCCCATGATCTCAGCTTATTGGCTCATTGCATATTTAGGAATAGTAGTGTTGATAACAGATGGAGCTATGAGAAATCTTGAGTATCTGACCACAGATTCCTACTGGCCTAAATGAAATTTACTTAAGAAAGAGTCAAGGTTTTAAAGTCACATACTAATAAATACTCACAAAGTTCTGATGATGTTGTTTCATTAAACAGTAAATATTTTCCAGAGACAGGACATTTCAAAATGTAGTTTTGGTAAAAACGCATTTATGGTAAAGCTCAGCTGACAGTCTGCAGACAGATACACGGGTTCCAATAAAATTCAGGACCCCAAGGGTTTCCCCAGCTCTCGAATTATTTAAAATAAACGTGTAGTGTTGTAGTGGTTAAGTTTTAAAACGGTGCCTCAAAACTGGCTAGTTGAGAAACATTATCTATGAAAAACATACTGTGGAGGTGATTTTTAACTGTCTCAAACTCTGTGGAAAACTGTAGCTTGGTTATCTAGCAGTGGTGAATGAGTTGGTTCTCACAGTCGGCCAAAACCCAGAGCAACAATTTATTTATCTTTTTATCTTTGCTTAGAGTAAATGGGGAAAAACAATTTTCATGTAAGGAAAAATAAGTCATGTAGTATGAGTTACAGAAAATGCTGTCTCTTTAATTTCTATTGGTTTAAATAAAAAAAACCCCACAAACCTATAAATCTGATTTCTCTTTCACAAGAAACGGCTCCCCGCCTCAGGCAGCTCTCTCCTATTCCTCTACTAACCAGTTACTTTAATCTGAGAAACTAATTTGCACTCAACTTGTGAGTGCCTTCACCTTCAGGGCAGAAGAAACACCGACTTTTAATGCATTTTTGCAAATAAATCATTACAATTTAATCACACACGACTCTATACAGACACGCTCCCATGATTTATTATTGTTGGGCGAGTTTCCCCCTCCCCCAGCATGAGATAACCAATTTTGTTTCCTGTAGGTGTCATAAACATAACTTCCCACGATGCAGATATGTTTACTGATTACCCATGACGATAACGACGACTACTAAGACAATAACACTCTCCAGTCCCACCTTTATTGCTTTTGGTATCAATAAAATAAAAATAAACAAGCCCGCAAAACAGACGCCAAACAAAAAATTGGCAGCGTTTACAATCTACTTTCTCGGCATTCCCACCGCCTGGCAGCCTCTATCGATGCACTCGATATCTCGGCTAATGCTGCCTGGCGCTAGAACCAGGAAGGCGCTGAGCTTAAACTGGAGCAAGTACGGTGGAGGCCTGCGGCGCCCTGATCTGAAGAAAAGTCTCAGGGTCTGCGGCGTTTGCAAGTCAACGGAAAGTGTGAGGCCAAAGGTCTGGACCCAGGTGATGCCCGCGACCAGAGCCTGGGAAGGGGCGCCCGGGGCTGCGGGGCTCCGAGGCCCTGCTCCGGCCAGAGGCAGCGTGGGCCTGGCGCAGTTTGGGGCTGGGTGTACGCGGAGGGGGTGGGCGGCGGCCTCGTGGCGTGCGTGGTGTCACCGTGCGCATGCGCCCCGCACCTGGGAGGCTCTCCCTGGGTCTAGGCTGATGGCTGTAGGGTGGGTGGGTGGCTGCAGGCCTCAAGCTTGGCCCTCTGTCTTGAGGACGTGTGGGAGAGTTCGCCGACTCCTTCCCTCGCCCCGCATTCGTGGTTCTTCCTCGCTGCTTTTGGGTTTCCTGGCTCATCTTGCAATATAAGCCTGGCGTTTCCTCACTAGCTCTAGGTAGGGTGGAGCAAGAGGGAGGCTGGATTGTGGTGCCCTCTATCCCATCCACTCCACTGTCTCTGCCTTAGATCCACCTCCCTTTCTGAATCCTCCCGACCTTTCTGGCTGACACTGACTTGCTGAGAAGTGGTGCAGGGTGAAATTGACGTTCCTTTCTTGAAATATAAATATATTTGCTTTAAACAAACTGTATATTCCCTTGACTTCTGTACTTGTGGCCATGTGACCAAGAGCATATGGCTCTGTTTACTTTCGCAAGAGGTTATAATGCACCGTAAGGCATGTTATCTGCTTTTGATTTTAGGTTAACCTTGACGTAATTTCTCTCAGAGGTTGTGTGTCTTTAAATGTACACTGGAAACCTAAACAAAATTTTGTTTTTGCACTTTCAGAATTAGCAGTAACCCAATTGTGTTTCAATTAACTAGATAGTAGATAAGGAAATTCAAATGTCTTTATGTTGTCACCAGAAAGCATTCGAGTTGTCATCTTAGAACTTAGATGTTATAAAAGGTCTGAGTGAAGAAGGTAAGCAGAGTTCACAAGTTTAAGATTTGGAGCAGGTGTGACAGTTGCAACCTTGGGGAAATCCTTTGAGAACCTCTCTAGTCTTAGATACTCACTTTCTTTGCAGGCAAGGATTTCATGCTGACTGATATGGCACTTTATTTATGTTTTTCAATAAGAGGGCTAAAAATGTCAAAATCTGAAAACGACAAAAACAGCTGGCACCTTTCTGTTAATTGGACTTGCCAACTCAATCAGTCTCGAAAAGAGGGGTGTTATGAATTGGAAAAGTTGTGAAAGCACGCTATTACGGTAGATCTATAGATGTATTTCCTGCTTTCATTTTCAAACCATTGAGGAGAAATTCCTATGATTGATAATGCTTTTTTAAAAAGAGATGCCTGCAAGTTTTTAATTGTGATGGGAGAAGTGTCTTGACAGAATTCTTTCTCTTTTGAGTATTACTTTATTGTGCTTGAATTTGCCTCCATTCTTTTTACTGCCTTTGCATAGTTGTGTACTTGTTTATGGATTTCTTAATGTTCATTTTCACCCCATTTTTACTTTTCTTCTTTCTTACTTTTTCTGGCCGTGTATCCAGGATCAAGAAAATTTAAGTTTGATATATTAATAAGTGAGTGATGGAGAAGTAATTATAAGCTATCATGTCCTTTGGGAATCTTTGTTGTCTCAAACTGATTGCCTGTTTTCTGAAAAAGATAACTGCTTCTTGTACCCTTATCAATAATGGGGCAAAGGAACGATTTGTGTAGTCCTTTGAGTTCTTTTTTCTTGGATGACCACATGCTGGCTTCACATCTTCAACCAGGCACCTGAATATTACATTAAGATATGTTTGTAAATTGATGTCCTCCTGTAGTCATTACATGCCATGGCTTCAGTTCTGTAGTGGGAGTAGATGGGTGAGATTTGCAACCATGAGGCTACAACCAGGAAGAACTACAGTGAGAACAGAAAAGCAAGAGCTATAGGAGCTCTGTCCCATGTTGTCTTTTTCACCTACAGATAGATTGAAAATTCTTAGCTTAGGGAACTCTAAAAGCCTGTGCTCTTTTCATCATTCATTGCCCTTATTGGAAAGAACTATCAATGTGTCTTTCCATGCATTGCACCTTACTGGTGGAGTTAAGTATAAAGAATTTTTCCTTACTAGGAGTATGTAATATAAATTTATCAACATGACTTGAATTGGCAAGAATATTCCATTACATGCTGATGACATTATGCAGATCTAAGGGATAAGTTTATGGCTATGGTGGTGAGCAGGATTTCAGTACCTGTCATTTATAGGGAAGACAATTTTGGGATCTGCCTTTTGTGATTTGCTGTTAGTGTTCACTCCGTTTTCCGAATAATTGTTTGAAGTTAACTATAACAAAGAAATATTGTGACCTTTTGCTTTCTTTTATTGAGAATAATTATACTTCATTGTAATTTTTCTGAAATGTAAATGTGTCACTTGAAATATTTATAGTTTTGCCACAGTGGTTTTTCAGCTTTTTCTTGGTTTCTCTAAGGAAAGATTTTTTTTCTTTAAGTTCTGGGGTACATGTGCAGAATGTGCAGATTTGTTACCTAGGTAAGTATGTGCCATGGTGGTTTGCTGCACCTAAGTATTAAGTCCAGCATGCATTCTCTGTTTTTCCTGATGCTTCCCTTCCCCCGTGTCCCTACCACAAGCCCCAGTGTGTGTTGTTCCCCTCCCAGGTTCATGTGTTCTCAGTGTTCAGTTCCCACTTATGAGTGAGAATATGTGGTGTTTGGTTTTCTGTTCCTGTGTTAGTTTGCTGAGGATAATGGCTTCCAGCTCCATCCATGTCCCTGTGAAGGACATGATCTCATTCTTTTTTGTAGCTGCATAGTATTCCATGGTGTATATGTACCACTTCTTTATCCAGTCTATCATTGATGGGCATTTAGTTTTATTTTGTGTCTTTGCTATTGTGAATAGTGCTGCAGTGAACATACACGTGCATGTATCTTTAGAATAGAATGATTTCTATTCCTTTGGATATATACCCAGTAGTGGGATTGCTGGGTCAAATGGTATTTCTGATTCTAGGTCTTTTGGGAATCATCACACTGGTGATTCCTCAAAGAAGCACCAGTTCTGGACAATTCCTGTGACATCATCTTCCACAATGGTTGAACTAATTTACATTCCCAACAACAATTTATTATTAAAAGCATTTCTGTCTCTCCACAGCCTTACCAGCATCTGTTGTTGACGTTTTAATAATTGCCATTCTGACTGGTATGAGATGGTATCTCATTGTGGTTTTGATTTGCATTTCTCTAATGATCAGTGATACTGAGCTTTTTTTCATATGTTTGTTGGCCACATAAATGTCTTCCTTTGAGATGCGTCTGTTCATGTTCTTTGCCTACTGTTTAATGGGATTGCTTTTTTTTTCTTGTAAATTTGTTTAACATCTTCGTAGACTTTGGATGTTAGACCTTTGTGAGTTGTATAGGTTGCAAAAATTTTCTCCTATAGATTGTCTGTTCGCTCTGATGATAGTTTCTTTTGCTGTGCAGAAGCTCTTTAGTTTAATTAGATCACATTTGTAATTTTTGTTTTCGTTGCAGTTGCTTTTGATGTTTTTGCAGTGAAATCTTTGTGCATGCCTATGTCCTGTATGGTATTGCCTGTATTATCTTCTAGGGTTTTAATAGTTTTGGGTTTTACATTTAAGTCTTTACCTCATCTTGATTTTTGTTTAAGGTGTAAGGAAGGGGTCCAGTTTCGATTATCTGCATATGGCTAGCCAGTTCTCCCAGCACTATTTATTAAATAGGGAGTCCTTTTCTCATTGATTGTTTTTGTCAGGTTTGTCGAAGATCAGATGCCTGTAGATGTGAGTCTTATTTCTGGGTTCTCTATTCTGTTCCATTGGTCTGCTTGTTTGTTTTTGTACCGGTACCATGCTGTTTCGGTTACTGTAGCCTTTAGTATAGTTTGAAGTCGGGTAGAGTGTTGCTTCCAGCTTTGTTCTTTTTGTTTAGAATTATCTTGGCTGTATGGGCTCTTTTTTGGTTCCATGTGAATTTTGAAAGAGTTTTTTTTTTTTTCCTAATTCTTGAAGAATGTTAATGATAGTTTGATGGGAATAGCATTGAATCTATAGGTTACTTTGGCCAGTATGGCCATTTTCATGATATTGATTCTTTCTATCTATGAGCATGGAACGTTTTTCCACTTGTTTGTGTCCTTTCTGATTTCCTTGAGCAGTGATTTGTAATTCTCCTTGAAGAGGTCCTTCACTTCCCTTATTAACTGCATTCCTAGGTATTTTATTCTCTTTGTAGCACTTGTGAATGCGAGTTCATTCATGATTTGGCTCTCTGCTTGTCTGTTATTGGTGTATAGGAATGCCTGTGATTTTTGCACATTGATTTTGTATCCTGAGACTTTTCTGAAGTTGCTTATCAGCTTAAGCCTTTGGGCTGAGATGATGGGGTTTTCTAGATATAGGATTATGTCATTTGCAAACAAAGGCAATATGACTTCCTCTCTTCCTATTCTAATACCCTTTCTTTCTTTCTTTTGCCTGATTGCCGTGGCCAGTGTTTCCAATACTGTGTTGAATAGGAGTGCTGGGAGAGGACATCTTTGTCTGGTGCTGGTTTTTATGGGGAATTCTTCTAGCTTTTTCTCATTCAGTATATTAGTTGTGGGTCTGTCATAAATGGCTCTTATTATTTTGAGGTTTGTTCCAAGGAGGGATTTTTGTATCTTTCCTTAACCTGTGTTAAATGTAATCAAGCAGTCTTTTATTATGGATAAATTATATTGTTTGTAATTAGAACAAAGAAAAAGTTTATACCCACCTTCTCTTGTTCTGCTTTTTTTGGTCACCCCCAAGACGCATAGATCTGTGTCCCTTCCTTTTTTCTACTTGTTTGTACCTTACTCAGAGATGTAGGATGAAGGACCGAAATAGAGATTGGGAATAACTGTAGATATCTTAGAGCAGTAGTTCTCAAACATTTTAGTCTTAGGGTCTCTTTACACTCTGAAACATTGTTGAGCACCCCAGTAACTTTTATTTATTTGGATTATATCTATAAATATTTACCTTATTAATTAAA